GCCATTGTAAAACAAGCATCACCAACATGAAATTCACGTGAGCTGTTTTTTGCCTTATAGTAGACATGAAGCGTTATCACATCCTCATCAGGCTGAGCAAGATAAAAGATAAACGTCTCATCGAACCTTATAACTGATGCCAACTCCTTGACAGAGGTCTTGTACTTCTCCTTTACCGACTTCCCTTTTATAATAACGTATCCAGGTTCTGTAATAGGTTTGCCATTTCGCATCACATCAGACAATTCAACAATTGTAACGGCAAGATGCGCTCCGTCGGCAACAACAGTTCTTCTTCTTTCTTCTGAGGCTTGGGTAGATGTTTGGGAATAAGCCAAATGTTCTATAGAATGACGTCTTGCACTTCCTCGTGGTGTTCGAGAAGCGCGTCCACTTGATGGACGTCCTTGACTTGCTGAGTTTTTCTCTTGAAGATTAACAAGCTGCTTCCACAGCCCATCATTCGCATTCCGCATTGCTGCCAACTGGGAATTTAATTCTTGAATTCTTTTATCTTTTGATTTTGAAAATTCACTTAGATCGGCCTCTTTTTCTACAATAGCCGCCTCAAGTTTCCTCATTCTCTGTTCAATTGCATTTTCCTTTGATATATTGTCATGCCGCCGTAAAAACTCTTGATCATTTTTGAGGCGATTTTCCAATTCGTTCAAACGAGCCTGAAGATCATGGATTTTATCGTCCTTGAGTTTATTATCATACTGCAAGCTATCAAGCTGCTCCGTAAGATGATCCCTTTCAGCTTGTTCGCGTTGAATATCTCTTTGACGTTGTTCTTCTCGAGGATCCAAATGCGGGACGTCTCTGCGTAATTCATCTTCCTTTCCACGTTGTTCACTGCCCCCAATTGCAGCGACAAGTTCAGCATTTTCATGACGCAACTTTATGATTTCCCTCTTGGATTCTTCTTCATTCGCCCATGCAGCCTCAAGCGAACGCATGACATCATCAACGCAGTCGATCTTGTCCTTTAAAAATTTGTCGACCACAACAGAATCCATTTCACCTTTCCTTCTCAGACTTTGATCATTCTCCTTCAAGATAAGATCTTGTAACTCTTGAAAAAGATCTGCTGCAGATGCTTTTAATGAGTTATGTGGTGATGAACGTAATCGAGTACCTTCACTTTGCCGCAACAGATCTCCAATTTGTGTCAGTTGCTCATTTTGGCGAGCCTCTTGAAACGCAAGTTGTTGTTCATGGGAAGCCTTTAAATCAGTAATCTGTCGTTCATAACGTTGTAAAGAAGCTTGTAACTCTGCGTTTTCTCGCAAAATATCCTCAATTCCGAGTTCTGAAAACTTATCGTTTTTGGTGGTATGCTTATGTTCAGAACCCACAGGTAAAACAGTGTTCTTTTTAGCAGAAGCAAGAAGCACTTCTAGTTCCTTTATACGAACCTCACGTTCACTTGAGCGATCTTCAATACGGGAACATTTGTCCTGAAGATTTTCAATTTCTTCTCGAAGTTTCTCATTTTCTTTTGAAACATCTGCATTCTTTCGAGTCAAGCTAGTATTAATCTCTTCAAGAGCTTTAATTCGGCTTGTATTCGTTTGTACCTCTGTTTCAAGTTCACTGATACGTTCATCTTCATCATCGATTGTGGTGCCTCCCATAGGAAAGCTGAATGGAACACGACTTGTCCTACGTTCACCTCGAAAAGCAGTGACTTCTTGTTTGAAAGAGGCCAACTGCTCCTGAAAGGCGCGATAGACTTCCCTACCTCCCTGGTCATTATTATTCTTTAAAAAGTCGATTTCACCTCGAAGTGCAGATTCAATTCGCCACCATTCCTTTTCTTTAGCTCGAAAGCGATCCTCAGCAAGACGCATTTTTTCCTCAAGTTCGGCAATGTCCTCCTTCAGGAGAGCCTGTTGAAGTTGTTGTTCATTGCCACGTTCCTTTACATCTCTACATTCTCGTTGTTGCGTTGATCCCTCAAACCTTTGAATGGACGCGAGTACTTCTTCATAATCTTGAATATATCTTGCCTTTTCCGCCTCCCAAGCTTCCTTTGCAAGGGTCCATTGGCGCTGCTCCTCCATAAAACGGCCCTCCATTTCAGTGTTTTTTTATTAAGGCCAATCATTTGGGCATCTGCTTTTTCTTGTAGTTCGGCAAGATTTTTGCATTTTTGCTCAAGCTGATGTTCTCTTTGAATAGCCTTGTTATATGAGGCACGAAGTTCTTCAATATCAAATCTCAATTGGTTATTTTCCTCAATTAATTTTATAGCCTCTGCACGTACCGTTGATGTGGCTTTTCTTTCCAGCTCGCCCGACTTCAGCTTCAAAAGTAGAGAATTGTTCTCTTCTTCGAGAACTCTTGCATTTCGATTTGCAAGAGATAGTTTGTCTTCAACATCGCTGAGCTCTTTAAGCTGGGCCCTCAGATCCCGAATACGAACCTCCTGTTCATATTCATTAAGCTCCTTTGTTGCAAGTTGCTCCTTCAGCTCTGTGCATAGTTCGTTAAGTTCCTCTATTTTTTGTTTGTATTCAATGTTTTTGCGCTGCATCCATTCTGAAGACAGCATTGTCGCCAACCTTTAGGTTCAAAGTGCTCTTGCAGAGTAACATATACGTAATGCGAGAAATCAACAAAAAGATAGAAGAATGTGTAGAATAACCCAAAGAAGAAACGAGAGTGAAAATGCCAACACTGATAATGGCAAAAGCAGTAAGAATAATGCCGAGAAAGGACAATTCCAGTCGCAAACACAATACCAAAGAAAAACAAAACAAAACGTTCTCCTTTAACACCGACCACGCAGCCTCTGGCGCCCCCATCGCACCCGGTGCTTTTTCGCTATTGGCCCCCGCCCCCCTCCCC